GTGTGGGGGTGGGTGTGGGTGTGGGTGTGGGTGTGATGAGCCATTCGTCGGCTCCAACTCTTGGCGATCCTATGCATGAGTGATGTTCACAATATCATGTTCTCAGCAGCCCTCTCAGCTCCTGTGGATTCACACCTATGGCTTCTTTGAGGAGCCCATCCATCTCATAGTTGGTCTTCCTCTTTCCCTGCTGCTTTCTATTTTTCCCAGCAGTATTGTCCCTTCCAAAGAACTCTGCCTTCTCAGGATGTGCCTGAAGTAGAACAGCTTCAGTTTTGTCTTTCTTTTTTTTACCTCCAGTGATGTTTCAGGCTTAATCTGCTCTGGCTCCCACTCATTCTTCTTTCTGGCCGTCCAAGGTATCAGTAGAGCCTTCCTCCAACGCCAAACTTCAAATAAGACAACCATGTCTAAATACTATGACAGTTTTTCTTTTGAAGAAAGGAAAAGAGATTGGCATAAGTTTTCTCTATGGAAATAGGATTTTTAGTACAGCCTTTGTTCTCATGAAACATAAGTTGATGAACACCAGGAAAGATAGGAATCAGTAAATGTAAACCACAACAAACAGAAATCGCTGGTGTTTTGATTGATACCCTAAATCTGAAAGGCATCACAGCTTGCATATTTGAAACATGCTACTTCATTACAGCCAGAAGTTATCTTACTGGAAATGACCCTCCATTTTTAATAAACAGAGTTCTGCGTTGCAGTAATACGCGTTAAATATTTACTTAAGCATCAACTCCCTAAAAATGTAATAGTCTAGCCAAAATGAAGTAGTGCAATTTTGAAGAACAGTTAGAAAACAAAGGAGATTTAGTGGGCAAATGGTTATGTTTTTAATATTTTAAAAAGTAAGTTATTTTGTGTGGATGGAATATGTAAATCCAGGACTGAAGGCCAGAAGTTGCAAGGAGGAGTGTTTCAGTGTATAGGGAGACTTTTTCTTAAAAATGAAAACAAATTAGAGCTCCCTGAGCAGAAGCAGGCTCCTGGGGAAACCAGATGCTTCTTTGCTGTTAAGGTTTCCTGACAGAGAAGTCCAAACTCTGCCGCGAGTGCTAGACTGGGTTTTCAACCTACTTTAAAAAAAAATAAAACTCCTCACCCCAGGATATATGTTTATCAATTTTAGAAAGATAGGAGAGAGGGAGAGAAACATTGAGGTGAGAGCGAAACAATAGTCGCCTCCTGCACACGCCCTGACCAGGGATTTAACCGAAACCCAGGTATGTGTCCTGGGGAGAAATGAAGCCACAGCCTTTTGATGTGGGCGATGACTCTCCAACAAGCTGAGCCACCTGGCCAGGGCTCAACCTACTTTATCTTGAAAAGGGCCAGATAGCAAATCTTTTCAGCTCTACAGGCCATACAGTCCCTGTCATAACTGCTTTACTCTAATTGTAGGGTGAAAGCAAGCATACATAATATATGAATGAGTGGGCATGGCTGTGTGCCAATAAAACTTTATTTGCAAAAACAAGTACTGGGCCAGATTTGTCAACCCTGCTACATCTTATTTTCTGAATTAGGTGGGAACAGGACCTAGACACAAACCAACTCCCCTCTGTACTTAAATTCCAGTGTTTTTAGATTCTTTGCTCATGGTATAGGAAGGCCTAGGTACCATTTGCCATAAGATCATTCCCGGATCAGCGACCCACCCTTTGTCCAGTTGTGTGTCTAGGCAATTACAATGGAAAAGGTCCTTTTTGGGATTTAAGCTTCAAGACCCCAAAGAATGGGAAAAAGGGAAACCTGGCACAAATTGTGTGTCCCCAACGTGAAATAGTTAATATGTTGGACACAGGAATGGCATGTTCAGAGACTATGCTGACAGGACAGAAAGTTGAAACTGTTGGCAGAAAGTTAAAGTCAATACAGAAGCCACACAAACACTGCCTGCAGGACCACAGTAGGGGAGCTTGAAGACCTGCCATCTGCAGGTTGCCGGAGACCCTCAGCCCAGAAGCCCAGAAGCAGGTAGAGAATTTCTTTTATTCCCATTGCTTCCAAATAAAGTGGGGCTTTGAAAAATTAAGCGTCGTTTTTATGTTGTGAAGAAGCCACTAATTTGTTTTAATTTCCTGCGTATTTAGAGAGTGTTGAAGGGACTGGTGTTCTTTTATGTGGAAATATTTAAATGGAGGGTATCTTTTTAAATTCATCTTTATTATTGAAAGTACTACAGATGCCCCCTGCTCCTGTCCCCTCCCCAGGGCTTCCGGGCACTGTTGTTTGTTCATGGGCTATGTGCATATGCATATAAGTTCATTGGTTAATCGCTCCCCTTCCCCCTTCCCTCCGAGATCCATCTGTCCCATGCTTCAATGTCTCTGGGTCTTTTTTGTTTGTCAGTTTATGTTCATTAGATTCCACATATAAGTGAGATCATGGGATACTTGTCTTTCTCTGACTGGCTTATTTCGCTTCGCATAATACTCTCCAGGTCCCTCCATGCTGTCTCAAGAGTAAGGGATCCTTCTTTTTTACAGCTGCATAGTATTAAATCCAAAGAATATTGACTGATTTAAAAATTTAAAAATGGGCTTGAATATTTTGAGAGCTTTACTTAGGGAGTCTGGCAGGATATTATTGCCATTATTTACAATAATTTTCTTTCTGGTCAAATCAAGAGAATTCACAACTGTTTAATTCCCCTTCACCAGCTCCCTTTCTGTAATTACTAACAACATAGGCTACAGATGAACGTTGAACACGATCATTCGTCTAGACTTCTCAGTTTGCATCTTGTGTCAGGTCCCTGGGCACAAACAGCACAGTAACCCTTGTTCTCTGTACTGGAAATTGTGTGCTTAGATTCACAATCCAGGCACTGAAAAGAAACTCTGTGTCACCTTAAACTTACGTTCATGTTAAATAAACCTACAACCAGCAGGGTCATGGCTGTGTTTCTTTCTCTTTTAGGATGATTTCATTCAGGCAAGCAGCTTATTTCATGTGCTTGTTTGCTACAGTTTCCTGTGGTGAGTGGATTATCTGTGGGACATCAAGTTAAGGGAGTGTGGGAGAGTAGTTGAGAAAGATATGACACCCCTATTGTAAGTATTACAGATGTTCCTCTTTGTCCCCCCATTGATCCCCTCCACCCAGCATCCTCCCAGGCCTTCTCCACACTATTTGTGTCCCAGGGGATTGCCCAGCCACCTCAGGGGAGGAGCCCAGGAGTGAGAAGGCCTCTGGGTATGTGTGAACAGAAACTTCTGCTTGGAAAGGACTCTCTACAACACAGCTCTTAAAACAATCAGCCCTCTATCAACATTTGTTAAAAATCAACTGTCTGAACATTCAAGAGTGCTAGGCATGTTAAAATGCCGGGTCCAACCCGAGTACTGTAATAGGTACACAGGACACACTTTGACTCTTTTACACAATCGGGGAACGATTTCAAAATGAACAGTACCTGGTTTAAATGTAATTTAATAACCCATCCATTTGAATAGCTCTAGTTTCAACACCAGTGGTTTTGACATTATTTCTCTCTCTACCCATTCCGTTAAATTTTCAGAGAATTAGGATGATTCTGGACAGTTTTCCATTAATCCTGGTAAAGCTGTATTTTGTCTGTGTGGCGGTTAGGGGTAGATCTGGAGTCTGTGTTGACTTAGGATGACCGCACCATGGTGGTGTTTACTTACCTCTCAGGTGTATGCCTAAGACAAACACCTCCTGGGTAAAGGTTATAATTTCCCCAGGAAGAAGCTTCTATTTTCTAAACCACACTCACCTCCATCTGTCCCCTCACCCTTCATTGTTCTTCTGAGTCATAATCATTACCACGTACAAATCCATGGAACGCTGTGGCCACTACAATTTCCTCTTTTTGGCAATATATACACACACACACACACACACACACACACACAGACACATATACATATATATGTGTGTGTGTGTGTGTGTGTGTATATAGTATATGTATATATTATATATATAATTATGCTAAGAAAATTAGAGGTGCAAGTAAGCAGAAAATAGATGAGAAGCTATATATTGTCTATAGACCCATAATTCAGAAATGGCCATTAAAACAAAGTCTTTTGTTTAATCTTTCAGATATTTTTCTATACATGTCTATTTACACATTTAACAAAGATGCTATTAATTATAGATATTTTTATTACCTATGTTTCCTATTTATAGCTATCTTTTCTTGTGAATAAATTTGTCATATTACTTGAAGCTTAATATTCTTCCTTATTCATGGTATTTTTTTTTTAATATATCTTTATTGATTTCAGAGAGAGGAAGGGAGAGGGAGAGAGAGAGAGAAACACCAATGATGAAAGAGAGTCATTGATCAGCTGCCTCCTGCAGGCCCCCCACTGGGGATCGAGCCGGCAACCCCGGCATGTGCCCTGATCAGGAATCGAACTTCAATTTCCTGGATCCTAGGTCGATGCTCAACCTCTGAGCCATGCTGGCCAGGCTGTGGTGGTTGTTTTTTAATCATTGGCAACCAAAGTCAGTACCTCAACACAGGTAACTTAGATACAGGGGCCAGTGTGATATAATTTTATGTTATGAGATAACTTGTGTAACAATGTTTTACATACAACCTAAAATACAGTACAAAAAAGCCTATCACCGTGTCATCATCATCATCATCTACTTATGAGGACAAACAAGAACTTGCTCACTAGACCTTTCTTTCTGGTCCTCTCCGAGATGAGTGTGTTTCTAGCTGCCCTTTTCCACCTGCCGAGTCACACGGCAGTTGACAAAGGCTCAGGTGCAGGATGGGAGCTCCCAGGCTAGCACTAGTCATTGTTTGTACCCTTTCTGTGCATTAGGATGGGGAAGATGGTGGCTTAGTAATTATGAATCATCCAAAACCACAAGTTGTGTAAAAATAAGCCACTTCGAAGCTAGCATTCTCACTGGGCCAACGACTCAGTGTTTTGTGCATATATGAAATCTAGTCCTGTACACTTGGCAAATTGTATACTCAGAAGCTCCACCTGAAGAGATCTCTGCCCTTTCTAAATAGAAACCTTACCCGAGGGTAAGTCATCTTAGCCACACCTCTGAGAGGCAGTGAAGCAACTTTGTTGGGCTGGGTTGTCATACTAGGGCTCAGGGACAGAATCCCCAGAGGGCTTGGACAGTGCAGAAGACACGCTGCACTTGAGTGCTAATGAAATACATGCGTCTAAGCTGCTCATTCCTTGAAAACAATACAAAAATGGATATGATGAAAACTGAAGCGTGACTGCTGCCCTAAGGGACAGACAAGGTTGTCGTGGGAATATCCTGTGGTTGACAGACAGTTGATCAGCTACAGGGAATGTGCTACCAGAGTTGGAAAAGCTTATTAAGCAGACTTTGAAGTGGGTCTTTCAAGGTAAACCCAAATTCATGTGTTAAAGGTACCACTTTAATTCGTGAAAGGGTAGGAGGGTAAAGGTAACAATACTCTAATGATGTGTCAGATGAAGGGTACTTTAGGACTGTGAACAATTCCAAACAGCAAATAGCTCGAAATGTACTTTTGACCCGGCATACACGTGCGTTTGCTTAAACTATCTAAAAACTGAGCTTGTAGGAACTGGGCCAGAGGAAGCAAGATGGCGGGTAGGGAGCGGCTGCCCCCGCCGCCTCCTGCAGCCGCATCAAAATTACAACCAAAATACAGAGCCTCCTGAGATCTGGCTGAACAGAAGCCCCACAACCTGGGAGCTGAAGCAGCACCGAGAGCGGGAGGAGGGGCGCAGACGGGGGCGGATAGGGGCTGAATCCCAGAGACGCTGCCGCGGGCCCACACCCGGTGCCGCGGGGAAACCCGGGAGGGAATCTCAGCGGCGGAGGTTTCCCGGAGGGAGGGTTCCCAGCCCCACAGCAGGCCCCCAGCCCAGGGCTCCAGGCCGGGAAGAGACGTCCCCACAACTCCGGGCTGTGAACCCAGT